TCAAATAAACAAAGAGATTATTGAACAAACAATGCGAAATCTCATGTATTGTAAATAATAAAATATGAGTGAAGAGAGAAATAAAACAAGAAGAACACATGTATATTATGTGGTTCACAGGGCCTACATCCACAGCACACAAAGCCCAAAAAGGTACATATCTTTCATTATAATCTCTTTTAATCTTTGTATACAATCATCACCTCTATTTATAGGTGAAGAATACAAACATGTTATAAATATGTTATAACATCTTCCAACACTCCTCAAGCTGGAGTGTGTATAGAAATAACGCCCAACTTGCATATCAAATCATGAAACGGATCTTTTCCAACGATTTGGAAAAAGACAATAAAACTGCCTGATGCACAACGGAGGCGAAGAACAATGCTACCGAACTCACCAGCAGCTAGGGCTACAAAAGAGCCAAGCTTTCGACGATCAACTCGAGCTCGGCTCGACAAAAGCTCGGTTCATGTTTGTTTGATTACTAAATGAGCCAATCCCAAACAAAATTCTTAAGCTCGTTTATTAAACGAGCCAACTCAAACACCTCTCCATTCAGCTCGTTTTGTTCGTGAACAGGCTCGATTCAAGGCTCATTTTGAGTTCGTGAACACTACATGTGTGTGTGTGTGTGTGTGTGTGTGTAGTATATTTCATATTTTTATAAGTTCTAACAGTTGATTTAAATATTTTAATATTTTATAAGCCTAACCCAATAACCTAACCCAACCATTCTGTTATTATTCATTTTTTTGAAAAATAAAATTAACCCAAGCTTATTCCTCAATTTCCAAGCCCAGCCCATTTACCCTTTTAATCTATATGCATACGGCATATTTGTTATCTTTACTCAGGACCCTAGCCGCAAAACTACTCCATCCCCAAGTGCATGACAATTGTAACAGCGGCAATAGTGTTCGAAAAATCGAAACCACTGATCGGCAACACTGCATATGCTACTCCTAGGTTATTGCGCTCTCTCTCTCAGCTAGTCTCACCTCTCTTCTAACTTCTCTTCATATTTTCATGATGATCGAGATCGGCTCTCTCCCATCTGGTCTCACTTCTCTATTCTCTCTTCTCTTCATATTGGCCTGAGTGATCGAAATTGGGAGTGAACTGTGAGGACATTGGAAATTAAACACAGAGGAAAGATTTACACAGATTCATATATGGCAGGTTGTATATAATTTATATATTCCTATGAATATACGAGCCGCCGAGCCGAGCTCGAGCTCGTTCGAGCATCACCGAGCCGAGTTTGATCATGGGCAATCAAGGCTCGATCGAGCTTAAGCTACTGTGACGAGTCGAGCCCGAACACTTTACAGCTCAAATTGGCTTGGCTTGGCTTGTTTGCAGCCTTACTGGCAAATGGCAACCCAAACAACTCAATAAAAACTATCGGAGACACGGCAAAGGCGAACAACAATGCTACCGAACACAGGGGCAGCCCAAACAAGTCACAAATAGCACCGAGAAACCCTTAGCAACATTTCAGACATTAAGGGAATACTCCAAAATAAGGGTCCGAACCTAGGAAGAGAAATTAGGTTCTAATACCATGTTGTAAATAATAAAATATGAGTGAAGATAGAAATGAAACATGAACACAAAGATATTATGTGGTTTAGCCACTAGGGCCTACATCCACGGCACACAAAGCCCAGAGGGCTACATATCTTTCACTATAATCTCTCTTATCTTTGTATACAATGATCACACCTATTTATAGGTGAAAAAATACAAACATGTGATAAATATCACGTCGTCGTCGTCGTCATCAACCTTAACCTGATCCCGTATGAATAAAGTTGACCACATGAAATCCCATTTTCCAAGCCATCTCCATTGTAATGTTTTACCTTTAACATCGTTTCTAATGATTGCATCCCATGTTAACTTCTCTTTGCTTCCATGCAAATTAGTCTTCTTTATTTGTTATCCTTTTATCCCATAAAATGTCACACGTCTATCCCCATTTTATATCACCATCTATCTCACTATCCTTATGTATTGTTGATTTTTAAATGGTCACTTTAGATAATCCTTTGGCATTGAAAGGTGATCATTATACAACAACAATAACAACCAGGCCTTTTCCCAATTACTTGGAGTCGGCTACATGAATCTCATGTTTCCATTCTGCTCTGTTTAAGGCCGTAGCCTCAATCGATCCACATGCTAGCATATCTTTCCTTACTGTCTTCCTCTTCCCCTATTATTACCGTCAATGTGAACTATGTTAGTTTTCCTAACCGCCGCACTTAAAGGTCTTCTTTGCACATGTCCAAACCATCTTAACCAATTTTCTTTCATTTCAAGTCCAATTGGTGCTACTCCAACCAGCTCCAGAATGTGATCTTTTCTAATTCTATCCTTTCTAGTCTTACTACATGTCCATCTCAACATTCGCATTTCTACCACACACATTTTATGCAAATGTTGTTTCTTAGCTGCTCAACATTCAGTATCATAAAGTATGACTAGTCTGATAGTTGTTCGATAGAACTCCCCTTTCAATCGTAAGGGTATATGCCTATCACAGAATATAATTAAGGGTGATCATTATATTATCAATATTTAACTCCTACTAAATTTACATTCCATATATAGTTTTATTCTACTAATTTTTTAAGCTTTTGATTCTAACATGTTTCTCCAATTCCCTAATTTCATTCCAAAATTTTCTTTAAAAGTGGCCAATAGCATCATGTCATCGATAAACAACATGCACCATGTGTCTCCTTGTAAGTCTTTTGTGAATAAGTGTGGGCTTAGTGCAAACTATTACTGCAATCCTACATTGTAGAAAAATCACAAGTCTCACCACATATATTCAGTTTAGTTTCCCTATTTACATGCATATCCTGAATAATCTTCAATCATTTTTATAGGATTTTGTTTTCTTTGTAGAACCCACCAAAATATATCTCTCGGCACTCTATCATAAGCTTTTTCTAAATTTATAAAGACAGTATTTAGATCTTTTTGCTTACTCTCACACATTTCAACTACATGGTCTATCATATGAAAGCCTCCAACATGGATTTCCCTAGCATAAATTCAAATTTGATTTTTACACAATGTGAATTCCTTCCTTAATCTCTATTCTATCATTCTTTCCCCTAGTTTCATTGTATGACCCGTTAATTAAGTTCCTCAGTAATTGTTATAATTTTGTGTATCTCCTTTGTTTATGTAAGAAGGTCCTATCTTGTTTCTCCTCCACTTGGCATCTTTTGTTCTTTTAAAATTTTGTTAAATATTAGTTATTCAATTCCTACCATTCCTAATGTTCTCCGTATTTACCCAACCCAACCACTTCATTTTTTTTCAATCTTTTAAGCGTGTCTTCTACTCATTTATTTTATTTACCATTCTACACTGTATTCATTGTTTTCCACTTCTTCTCTAGGGCATACCGTGGTGGGATGAATTTTCCATACATGCTCGGTTCAGAGTGAAGAGTGGGAAGCATATTAGGCTGAGTAGATGAGTGGGGTATGGAGAGAGGCCGCTATTAGAGGCCTTCTCGAGCTCAGTTTTTAGGCATCTTCAGGTTTGAGAGGTGGAGGACGTTACATAATTTCTTGGCTTTATATTGTATAGTCTGCAGAAAAGGAGTATGAGTGGATTTGGGCGGCAGCCACTTATAGGTTATTTGAGGTCAGCTCCTTCTACCGGAATTTGGTGGATGTGCAGGGCCTTTCCTTCCTTGAAAGGCCATTTGGCATACAGAAGTCCCATTAAAGGTGGTTTTCTTCGAATGGACCCAGCCTTGGAGAAAATTCTAAAGATTGATAACCGGTGGAAGAGGAGGCAGATTATTGTAAATTTGGTGCTTCAAGTGTAAGAGGGATGAGGAGTTAGTGAATCATCATATCTTGCATTGATCGGTGGCTAGGGAGGGATAGGATATTCTTATTGCCCTATTTGGAGTAAGTTGGGTAATGCCATTTTCCACGAGGAGCATGCTTGAAGCTTGGAGAGGGTGTATAATGGGGAAGCAAGCTTGAGATGCTTAGCAGATTGCTCTCATTTCCTTATGGTGGGGTTTATAGGGGGAGAGGAATAGGATATCCTTTGAAGGGGTGGATACTCGTATTTCGACCTTCAAAATTCAACACACTTGGGTCCTTATTTTTTGGATTCATGTCTCGTATAGTAAATCTGCGGAGGATCTCATGTAGTTTTTGGATAGCTTGAGCCTATAGTGAATATTTTGGTTTTGTGTCCAATTGTCTCTGAGATACGTTACCCTTATGAGCACCTTTACAAAATCTTTAATTGTTGAAAAGAAAAAATCCATCTAGCTAATATGTTCTTATCTTTACTAATATCTATTGAATAGATACTTAATACATCTACTTTGATCGAAGTATCTAGTTGATTTATCTCTACCCTTTATCAATTTATAAATAGCTTTCTCACCCTTATTTGTGTCTAATTTTGTATACAAATTATTTGGCGTGTTTTGTTTAGCATTGCTCAAATAAAGTAACCTCCAAAACTTTACTAATATCTATTGAATAGATACTTAATACATCTACTTTGATCCAAGTATCTAGTCGATTTATCTCTACCCTTTATCAATTTATAAATAGCTTTCTCACCCTTATTTGTGTCTAATTTTGTATACAAATTATTTGGCGTGTTTAGCTTTGGTCAAATAAAGTAACCTCCAAAACAATTTATTTGGCGTGTTTTGTTTAGCTTATCTTTACTAATATCTATTGAATAGATACTTACTACATCTACTTTGATCCAAGTATCTAGTCAATTTATCTCTACCCTTTATCAATTTATAAATAGCTTTCTCACCCTGATTTGTGTCTAATTTTGTATACAAATTATTTGGCGTGTTTTGTTTAGCTTTGGTCAAATAAAGTAACCTCCAAAACTTGGAAAAGAGAAAAGGCATAAGGCGCTTGAACATCGAACTGCAGCATAAGAGTGATAGAATGCTAAAACAATTATCATAATAAAATTACCAGGTGAGTGACACTTGCTACACAAACTCCTTCACCAGATGCCAAAAATATTTCATTCTCAAGTGTCTTGTTATCTCGAAGCCAATGCAAAATCTCTAATGGGCGGAAAAACCAATGAACTTTTACTTTCTTTGTCTTGTCCGGATTCTCCCATATCCTTATAAGCTTACCAATATAAGGCAAAGCTCGCCCTTCCTTGTGAACAAATACACAATCAAGCAGAGTGTACTCCATGCCATCATAGGTAAATGATTCATAAAACTGGACCCCTTTCTTGTTCCCGCCAACTCCTCTCTTTTTACCCCATTTAAATTCCAGGTTCTTGACATTATTCACTTCACCTAAATCAGACATAGTTGCAAGCTTCTCTGTTGGCCACGTGGTTAATAATCAGTGCCAAAGTGCTTGAACCTGAAAAATAATAATATCATTTATTAAGGAGATAAACACCAAAAGGATTGAAATTAATTCAAATGATGACTGCAAAGACACACTCACAGCTATTGCTTGTACCTGTACAGGCTGTACAAGCTTAAACTAATTATTATTAACAACAGAAAGATATGCTAGTGTCCTAATCTTGAAAACCAGTCCTCCCATTCAAATATGCACCCAAAAGTTTCAAATTACTACTACTTATTTTTTAAGTAAATTGAGTCTGGTACTACTATCAGTGAAATTCAATAGCTAGTGTTGGTAGTGTTTTCCTATTAAGTCGACTACAGAGATGTGTTATGAATATTTTAATAAATCTGGTACTACTATCAGTGAAATTCAATAGCTAGTGCTGGAAGTGTTTTCCTATTAAGTTGACTAAGAGATGTGTTATGAATATTTTAATAAAAATATAATTAAATTATATTAATGATGGTTTAATGTGAATATTATTTTACTAGTTAAATCATATTTATACTAATATTATTTTATTCATAATTATCATATCTTTTAACTGTTACATTACAAATCTATATATAATTATGTGAAGTATCCACAATCTCTTCTTGTTGTTTGGGATTGTTGTAACTTCATAAAGAGATATACTGCCACCATATTCTTCCACTACATCTGTACATGCTTATAGATGTGTATGTGTTTATCTACTTTATGTGTTTATGGGCAACGAGATTGGGTTGTATCTTGGATTTGATTAGTGCCATCTATACCTGCACGAAGGGGAGGACTATCAACTTTGGAACAGTGTGTTTACACATGACTCTCTATCAGGCTAGCTCTTTCTTAAACTCTATTTCACTTATTGTTAATTTTATATAAGTATTGCACCGCTTGTGTTTAATTTATTCTTACTTTATAATTTACTATTACTACTAGTGTTATTCATGCTCTAAATTTGTCCTAAAGATGTATTTTTCCTCAATTATAAACTTTGTATCGTCCATATTGGGTAAATCATCTATTGTTTTACATAATTAAGTGTACTAAATAAATAAAACAAATTTTCCCCAACAATTTGAAACAATTTCATACCTCTCCACACAACTCTATGAAAACAAACAGAACCTCTGAAAATATATACCGTGCATTATTCAATTCACTTCGGATTAGACACATTCTGTGTAGGGAAAATTTTAAGTTTAAAAGTGGTTCTTTCCCGACAAACAGAGTCTGTCTAAACCCTAAATTCACAAGAAAAATTCCGGAAAATATATATACTTAGAGAGAAAAAAAAAGGTATATATATATATATAATACTGGCATACGAGTTTTACGTTATTCAAAAATGAAGTTGGTAAAGGAAAAATTATCTCGTTATTTTTCTAGGGAATCAAACAGAGGCATGAAGTAATGGAAACAAGCAAAAACGACAAAAAAAAAAAAAAAAAAAAAAAAGGAAGAGAGAGAGAAAGAGAGATTTAAACTAAACAGTAGACTTTACAGTTTCCCCTTGATTCTTCTGCCACGAATCCGTGAAGCAAATAGGGCACAGTAACATGTCACTTCGGTGATGGTTGATTTGTTCGGTGATTTCCGCCGGAGATTGCGTCGGCCTTCCTGCACCGATGATTTCGCCGTGGAAGTCGCCAGCGGCAGTGTGTATAGGCGCCTTGCAGGGTATGGATGAGAGCGGGAGACTCGAGACAAAATTAAAAGTGTACAATTTGTGTTGTTTGTTATAAATGCTGTGGAAGAAATGTGGACATTAAACTATGAATAGAGGAAGATGGACATGGGCCAGTAGAGAAATAACCGCTTTACGTACCAATCAGATATAACCGCCTCACGCACCGCCTTTTAGCGTTTCGGCGCCTGGTATTGTTTTTATATCGCATTCACCGCACTAGTCAAATGTTTGTCATTTTCATCACATGTTCACGCAAGATCCTTGTCACAACTACGTGAGATAATTAAATATGTGTGAATTGTACTTTCTTTTTCTTTTTTCTTTTTTTTTTTGTTAATAAAAAGACACAATTTGTTGAGACGTGTGAATCAAATACTGTAGATCATTTAACATTTTTTAATTTAACAATTAAATATGGAGAGCTACTCTTATTGCAAGAAGAAAAGGTTATTCATGAAAATATAGAATAAATATTGGGTGTGTATTAAAATATAGAATAAATATTAAGTGCATATTTATACTCATTCAATAACAATGAACTATTTTTAAAAAATATTGGCCCACCTACTTATAAAAGTATTAATAACTAAATAATATGTTATATATTTAATTGTATGAATCTACTAATAAAATTGTTAATAACGACCTACATAATAGTAAATAATATGTTATAGTATTTGATTACCTGGTATATTAATGACATGACCGCACCTGTTGTGGGGCCCCTTATTTATTTATTTTTTTTCTCTAGTGATTGAGCGAGCTCTTTTGGGAAAATTTATATATTGGTTAGATGCTAGATGCTAGCTTATTATCGTTTATCCACAATTACAATGGAATGGTAAATTTGCACAACAAAATGCTAAATTGATTGGGATAGAAGGTTCAATTAATTCGAGAAACGTACAGGGTGACAATGAGAGTTGTGTAACACAAGCATAACAAGTTGGAATGCATTCTGAATAACAAATAAGAATTAATTCATTAGTTGAAAAAAAAAAAAAAAAAAAAGACCTTTAGTACGTCGGGTCGAATTATCGGTTTAGAAGTCATTAAATTCAACCAACAGAACCATGTTTTTTTTTCGCAAAGTAATGTGTTTCAAGAAGTCGCATTCTTACTCTGCATACAAAGTCCACATGTACTCAAAGAAACAACTAAATATGTTCATTGGTTAATTAAAAAAAATAAAAATAAAAATAAAAAAAACACTCATTTTAAATGATCAGAATTTCACTGTTCTAAAGACTTCTTCAGATGGATTTTTCATGGGAAGCTGCAGTCTATTATTATATGCTACAGAATCCATATTATCCTCTTTCTCTATCCGAATCGAGTTTGGTAACACAGACCCTTTCACACACTCTTCTTTTGTTGAACACAAACCTAACTGTAAAATTTGAGAAACAATAGACGTGTAAGGGTTTGGACGATCAGAACAAAGGACGACTATTTAAAAACCAAATTAGAAGTTGGAAATGAGGGATACAAAAATAATAATACCTTCAATCCCAGCAACTTTGTTACCCATCTCATCCGATATTGTACAGTGACCGACATCAAAGGTACGGTAGAAAATGTAGTCAGCCATCTGAAGGTCTTCCAACGAGGGTTGTGGATTTCTGTTGTCCTTCGAAGTGCAGACAACATTGCATTTGCCAGCAATAGCTTCCTGGTTTGGCACATGAAAATTAAAAAGACAAAAAATAAAAAAAAGACAATACAATTGGGGTAAAAAAAACTTGGGCGAGTCACCAACAGAGGCAATAAACATATTTTTTCATGTTCTTAGCTGATTTTCTCTTAACTACAGCCAAAGAATGTAAACCAACTCTGATTGTTTTAGTCACAAAAATTGTATCTCTCCGGCGGTCCATTGGCCGACATTCGCAATTGAACTCGGCGACTCCATCTCTTCTGACGATCCATTACTCTGTGGTTCTGTCCTGAGCTCCGTACACACCTTCAACTCCAATTAACCTCTCCATTGGATAATTTCTTCGCAGTCATATTCTCCACATCCATTGAATCTTCAACCGACGAAAACTCCTTGGATTTGAGGAAATCAGAGCCAGACTTATCCTAATCTCCCAATTGTTTCAGTCATTTCGACTACAACATCAAACGATCTTGGACAAATCAATACAAGATCAAGTCGAGACACTTCAAATATGATCCTGCGCAGATTTTTTTTGGCAATTTAATCCAATAAGATCTCCAATCATCTTCATATCTTCAACAATCTCATCAACCACTTCTGAATCATTACTCAAAGAATAATATATGATAAAACAGAAGTGATTCAGTCTACTGTTATTGTTTTTTGCCCTAAATTGGCCGAAGTACCTCTTGATATTAGCATAAAACAATTCATTTTTTTCCTTTTTCTCTCTTTATATATACACGATACATACAGCGTATGTTGGTAAATGATACATACAGCAGTACATAAGAAACGGCGCTCAATTCAAACTTCACGTCTCTGTCCCAGTCCCCCAGCGGGATTTCCCCTCAAACCATTAAACGGGCCCCATAACCGTTTTTAACGGGACGAGGCGGTACCCCAATGGTGCGGGCTATTTTTGCTATCCCTAATTGCAAGGATAATCCTGGCAAAAGCCTTACAAATCAACATCGGCTACTAATCTTAGACTTATTGCTCAAAGGAGTTCAACATAAAAAAGTGAGAAAAGGTCCCCAAAATATTAAATTGAAAGAACTAAAAGGTAGCAATGAGGCAGCATTCAGAGAACGAATATTAGAAGAAAAACAATGGAAATAGAATGACAACATAAATAACTTGTGGTTAGAATTGACAAAATCATATTCAGAGTACCGCAAAGAAAAGTTTCAGATAGAGCAAAAGGACGAAATTTATTTAAAAAGAAATATGGTGGAGGGATGATAAAATACAAAAAAAAATAAAGAAAAAGTTTCAAAGATGCTTTACTTCAACCAAAAAGCACAATCAAAAAATAAGAAATGATATTTCCCATACATAAAAGATAACAACTACAACTAGCACAAAAGTACTAGAATTAGCGTCTAATGTGCACCTAGATTGAACAGAATAAGAATTCTCGAAATATCACTAATTTAACAAACATTCCAGGTCTTGATCCTACGTGAATAGCCAACAAATATGTCAAGTGAGATCAAGCAACCATAATTCCTACCAGAAAATTATCACTAAATTACATACAAATCTAATTTGGGCAGTAAAAAGTAAGCATAAGGCACTTAAACATCAAACTGCAGCATTAGTTAGAAAATAGAATGCTATAACAATTATCATAATTAAATTACCAGTTGATTGACACTTGATAGACCAACTCCTTCACCAGATGCCAAAAATATTTCATTCTCTATTGTCTCCATATCTTGAATCCAATGCGAAATCTCTGAAGGTTGGAAAAACCAATGAACTTTTACTTTCTTTGTCTTGTCTGGATTCTCCCATATCTTTATAAGCTTGCCAATATAAGGCAAAGGTTTTCCTTCCTCGTGCAAATATACAGAGTCATACAGAGCATAATCCATACCATCATAGGTAAAAGATTCATAAAACTGGACCTCTTTCTTTTTCCCACCAGTGCCTCTCTTTTTACCCCATTTAAATTCCAGGTTCTTGACATCATTCACTTCACCTAAATCGGACATAGTTGCTAGCTTCTCTCTTAGACGTGTGGTTAATAATCAATGCCAAAGTACTTGAACCTGAAAAACAAAATATTATATAAATATATATATATATATTAGAAAAAACAATAACATTTATTAAGGAAATAAACACCAAAAGGGTTGAAATTAATTCAAATGATAGCCGCAAAGAGAGACTCACAATTATTGCTTGTACCTATCCAAGGTAAAGAAAATTTATTAACACCACAAAAATATGCTCGAATAACACTGTACTAAATCTCAAGGTAAAATGTGAATAGTAATACATAAAAATAACAGGATACTGCCTCAATTCCAATTTCTAAACTTGCAGTACACATGTCCTCCTTTAGACATCCCAAAATTATTTCCCCCAGCCAAAAGATGAGTTGTTCCTGGCATACAATTATACCAACATGCTAAGTGTATATTTGCCATACCAACAAGCTTGCCTATCACTCATTTTCCATTTTCCTCAATGGTAATGATAGTTCAAAAGTGACCAAACCAACTAATAAAAGAAAATCAATAATAAAAATTTAAAAATAAAAAATAAAAAAAAATTTGATAAGTGATAAAAATAAAAAAAAATATGGTCAAGTTCTTTCTTTTTCTTTTTCATTTTGGTGTTTAATATAAAATAGGATCATGTTTACATATGTCCACAGGAGTTATCAACAGAAGTTCTAAATCTATAACAGTCCTGTCATCCTGATCTACTAAATAGAAATCTACTAGATAATCATCACACGAACCATGTTCAAAACACTTTTGAAAACTAGTGTCCTAATCTTGAAAACCAGTCTTCCCACCCAAATATGCACCCAAAAGTTTCAGAATTAGTAAAGTGCATCTGGTACTACTATCAGGGACATTCGATAGCTCGTGTAGGTAGTGTTTTCCTGTAAGTAGACTACAGAGATGATACGATTTCATACCTCTCCATAAGATTCTATGAAAAGAAAAAAAACCTCTGAAAATATATATCGTGCATATTTCAATTTTGGATAGACGCATTCTCTGAACTACATCTGATTTCTCGAAAAATTGAAGTTAAAAGTGGTTCCTTCCAGACAAACAGATTCTGTCTAAACCCTAAATTCACGAAAAATATGATATAGACCAGCAAAATACTCAGAAAAAATGGCTAAATACAGCAGTGCATTTATTGAAACATAAAAAATAGAGAGAAAAAAAATACAGTGAAGTAAAATTGGTACTTTCCAGACAAACAGAGTCTATCAAAACCCTAATTTCACAGGCAAAATTCCGGAAAAAATATATAATATGATGTAGACGAGCAAAATATTTTGACAAAATGGCGAAATACAGCAGAGCATGTATTGAAACACAGAAAATAATAACAATAAATAAAATAAAAAATACGGTGGAGTGGTTCAGGAAAAATTATCTCATTGTTTTTCTAGGGAAACAAACAGAGCTTAGTAAACCCTAGAATCATGCAAGAAGTAACGGAGTCAAGCACGAATGACAAAAATAATTAAAGAAATCATTAAACTCGACAATAAATAATTCTTCTGCTACAAACCATGGAAGCAGAATAGACCACGGTCTCTGATCTCGTTTTGATGAATGTTGATTTTCGTCGGCCTTCCCTCCACCGATGATTTCGCCAGCGGCAGTATGTATATGGAAAGAAATTTGTGTTGTATTTTATGAGTATTTGTGTGAGATACAATTACAGCGTCCATTTGTTTAGAGAGATTAAGAAGCAGCTTAAGTCTCCTAAGCCAACTTGAGTTCGATTTACTACTTACTAACCTCCCTTCTAAATTAGGAAACTTAAGCACGGTTTTCCTGGGTTTTGAAAAATTACATGTTTATACTGTTGATTATTTGTCAATGTGTGAAAATGTTGATGTCAACAAAAATATTAAATTTATTTTTTTACTACCACAAAACCCTATGTTGTTTACAAAAACTATTTACTAATCAATTTGATATTTTTAATATTCTATCATATCATCCCTTTCCATCACAGACTAGCAAAACAAATCACATGACGATCACTTGCTTGTTTTTATTGACAAAAATATCCTTGTAATTATGTAATAACCAAACTATCCTTTCCAATACTTACACATGCCCTCAGTCTTACTCTTCTTCTCCACTGTCGCGTTTAACTCATCGGAGAGGCTTCGTGGATTTCGGTTACCATAGCGTCTATTGATTCTAAGGCGACTTACCATGTGTTTGTGTTATTGTTGTTGAATTTGGTCTAATTTTTTATTTCGAAATCTCTTGTTTGAAGCTCATCCTGGTAAACAGTAATTCTTATAACCCTCTATACATTGAGAACTTAGATGCTGTCATAAAACTAATTAGTCCATCGTGAAAGATTCAATCCAGCCTCGCTTGAAACTAGAAATCGAACCAATTCGATGTTGCCATTAATTGTTGTGATGTGAAGAGGTGTTTGACCAATCGAATGGATTGAATTCACGTCAATTTCTTTCAAACCCATCACAGAACTTTCATTAAATCCAATCACTCTATTTCTGCTGCTTCGTGGAAGAAGATGTTGAGATTTGATCAAAGCCTGAACAAAATCGACGTGTTTTCAGAGATTTGATCAATTGTATTATTTGTTTAACACCCATTTTCAATTGTGCAACCAGACTCAATCAGAGCCCGAACCAAATCTACGCTACCACATTTAATGGCGAGGAATATCACTGACCGTCTGTCCAAGTCCCTACTGTTCGGATATGCTCAGGCGTCGATCAAAACCGAGATGTGAGGGTTGACGACGATGAGGTGAGGGCGTCCCTGCTATGGTTTTCTAGGGTTTTGGGGGAAGAGAAGAGGGGGGATTTGAAGATGTGTGAGTTATTAAAGAAGATGTGTGAGTTATTAAAGAAGATGTGTGAGTCATTAATAGTTTCAACTAATGCCCCAAGTTCAACTTCTACGGCAAAATCTCCAATGCTTGGATACTTTTCGTTGGAGATTTACGATAAGCAAGAGCTTCAGTTAATCAGTTCATGCTCTGCTAATCCTCAAATACCTTCTTCCAAACAATGAAGATTAGGGCTTCGAATCTTTTGATTAGCGTTTACAGTCTCCTATGATTATATAATTACTGTTAATTACTATAATTATATATAATTATAATTATAAATATATATATATATAATTAATATAATTATATTTAAATAAATATTACTATACTATCAAAGGCATTCTTGTCATTTTGTAGGCACTTAACAGTTCTGTGGCGAAATAGGGACAATGTGATAGTTTATGTTATATCAAGGGGTTTTTTAATAATAAAGGGAGTTAGTTGATAGTTTTTGTAAACAATAGGGGGGTTTTGTGATTTTAGCCTTACTTTTTTTGGTTATAGAACTTGTCATACATTATATATAATTTAAAAAACTGACAATATAATAATTTCTTAGTAAGTTACGACACTCACTCTTATATTTTTATTATGTAAATCTATTTCAGAAAAGTTATTAAAGAATAATGAAAAGTACTTATTGTCATTTTCAAATGTGTATCTTAATCAACTTACGAAAATTTATTCTTTTTATCATTTTTCAATGTGTATGTTAGTCAAGGTATGAAAATGTTGACATCAACAAAAATATTAAATCTAATTTTTTTTACTTTTATTTACCCTTCAAATTTGTAAAAATACTTTTATGCCTTCAAACCTCCATTACTCTTCACTCCTTAGATAGCAATATTACTCTTGTCGTGCATTATAGGTTACAACATTTACAATATAGTTATTTTTTACTAAGTTGTGGAACTTACCCCTATATTGTCATTATTTAGATTTGTTCCGGGTAATGATGCTGATAAAGAGAAATGGAAAGTACTTGTTATCTAGGGTTTTTTAATGTGTCTATATAATTTACATGATAAATAAATATGTTATTTACAATAATTTGCATATTATGGATTCGTTGAACTTTAGATTTAAATATGGAAATGTATGTTTCTGTTTTTTGCCATTTTTCCATTTTCTATAATTTTCTGTTTTTGCAAGGGCATTTTTGTATTTTCTCGTTTTGTGTGCAGGACACCGTGGGATGGGTCGGGTGTGTCCGAGAGTTGGTTGGGGCAGTTCTTTGAGCTCAGGACTCTTAGAAATGCAATGGTCGCTATTTCGTCATTTTTCTATTTTTCGGGTTGAACTGTCCCGGGTCGGACCTGCTACCGGAATCGTTGTGTACAGGAATTATGTCACGAGTCTGCTACATTTCATGCATAATTATTTCGTGCCTATTTAAATGGTTGTGTGTTATTTTATGTGGATGTGATTTAATTGGGATATATATATATATATACAGAATTGTTCTCAAGCTCCCTGGTGTGCAAGAAATTGCATACACATAAGTAGTAGCCGTCAGAGTCTATTTGGCAGTTAAAAATGTAGTTTATGTTTTTATATCCAATAGTGATGATATAATTCGTGTATAAATTTCTTGCATACCAGTGAGCAGGTGAACAGTCCTCTATATATGTGTGTGTGTGTGTGTGTGTGTGTGTGTGTTTTTAAGGTTATATTTTTTTGTGATGGGACCCACCATTACAACTTTTAGTGGCCAAGAGGCCATTTTGGCCTCACTTTTTCTTTCTCCCCGGCACTCTCTTTCTCTCCCTCTTCTTTCTCATTTTTTTTTTTTTTTTTCCACAAAATTCAAGCTTTGATTACTCTCTCAATTTTGAGAATTTGTTGGAACCGTTTAAGGCAAATCGGAGAACTCGTTGAGATCTACACTTTGATAGAAGCAAATCACCATTTGGCCAACCTAGGGATTTAGAAAATTTGGGCAATTTTTGGAGGTTTTTGTATCTAAGTGGAGGTAGGGGTTTCCAAGGCCTAATCTCTTTGGTTCTTTGTGAATTATTTCTCAATACTTGCTATACAGCATGCTTAATTAGTGACAATTTATTGAAAGCATGATTTCTATATCTGTATGAAAATGTGTAAAGCTTTGTGTTACTTGTATGTTGTGATGATATATGATTCTATGTTATTAATCCACACTTTACTTGTTTAAATGACATAAATGATATGTTAAATATTTGAAAAGTTGTTATGTTGATCATTATTCAAAGTATGCTATATAATTGAGGATTAAAATGTGTGAATTCCATAGCATTGGACATGAAGAGTCATTCATGCATGACATTTGACAATAAAATGGGAAATATGATTTGAAAATGAAAGAAAATGGGTTTTTGGGGAAAAATGTTTTGAAAGAGATTTGTGAAAACCCAGTCGCCTAGAAGTTGCATAGGGTCCGTGGCATTAATGTGACCTAGAGGGAACTAGGGAGACCGCCTTAGCGTGGTTGAGTTACCTGGGCCCTAAATGATGCCGTGGATTTGCCATGTGTCAGGGACAGTAGCCAATCATTCTCTCGTGCCGCTATGGAGTTGCCATAGGACGAGTTATGTTAACGGTTTGAAGAATGATGAATGAAAAGGATTTTGAAAATGGAGAGTGACATTGCATGACATTGCACGACATAGTTCATCTATGACTTGGACTGTTGATTTCGTTGCAAAGTTTTTCCCCAGCATGGCATAATCCCGTTTCTCTTATTCCTATTCATTGTTTGGATTCACGGGGTCACAAGAAGTGTGTCTTAGGCACCACCTACTGAGCAAATTTGTGACGTTTATGATTTTCAGCATTTTTCATTTTTTCAGAATTTTGTCATCGCAAGGGCATTTTCGTCTTTTCACATTTTTCTTGCCGGACATTGTGGAGTGTGCCGGTTGTGTCCTAGAATTTGTTTGGGGTATTTCATTGAGTCCAAGATTCTTTGAAATGTAGGGGTGACCATTTTTACACTTTTCAGCTTTTCGAGCCGGACGGTCCCGTGTAGAACCCGCTACCGGAATTGCCAAGCATAGGGATTTTAATTGGATTCACTTGCATCATATTTATTTTATTTAATGCGTTGTGTATGGTTATGATTTAATATGTGTACATATAGGTGCGTGGTGAGAATTAAAGGGCAAAAGAAAAAGGAAAATTATAAAAGAAATAGGTGAGACCCACTACCACCATCTAAATGACTTAGAGACCACATTTTTGGTCTCAAAATCTCACTTCTCCCTAAGTCTCTCTCTCATCTCATTTCCTTGCATTTTTCTTTCAATTTCACAATCAAACTTCAAGCTATGATTCCATCTTCATTACTTGCCGGATTTAAGTGCCGTTTGAGGCAAAACGGAGAGCACGACGAGCTCTACGCATTGATACCAACAATTTCATATTTGGATCTCCCTAACAACTTCGAAAATCTAGGCCATTTTGAGGGCTTTACGCAATTAAGAGGTAGGGGCTCTTAATCCACAATTTTCTTGCTCCTAGTGAATTACATCTTCTAAATTGTTGCAAGACATGCTTATTTATGCTAGTTGTATTTTAAAGTAGTTAGAACATGTGTATGTGGTTATGTGAGAACTTATATTAAATGTTTTATGTAGAAAACTTGCCTATGTGATGATTTAAATATGTTCGTTATGCTAGATGTATTGTTGTATAAGAACATGTTGATATTTCTTGAGAAATTCTTGTAAAATTATTCCTTGCTTACTTAAATTGAGTTGGTTGTGAAATGATGAATATATTCATGGTATTGATGCACTCGTGCACTTACATTGGGTATGAAATGGGAGAATTTGTTTTGAAACAAAAAGGGGGAATTTGGGAAAGTGATTTGATGAAATGGCTTTGTGAAAACCCAGTCGCCGCGGGGGTACCAA